TGAAAGGAGGTTGTGGAGAAATGGGTGTTGGTCTCTTCTCCCTAATGACAGATGATCGGACGAGGGGGAATGGTCTCAAGCTGCGCCAGGGGAGGTTTAGATTGGACGTAAGGAAGAAGTTCTTCACCGAGAGGGTTATCACACACTGGAACAGGCTAGAGGAGGAGAGGATCAGGCTCGGCTGAATTTTGGCCTGGTTTCTAAAAGCAAGATGGGTAGGACGGCGACTGCCCGTCCATCTGCTTGCTCTCACTGCCAGCAAGGAGGGAGTCCGTCACCCGACTACGCCCGACTGAGCCGAGGGCAGCATTATGGTGGGAGGAAGAGCGCTCCGAGCCGTGGGCTGGCTGGGACATTTCTCAGCCTGCCGTCCTGTAAGCGATGGGTGAAAACAAACTCTGCTGAGGATTTTTTCCCCTTCTTGTCTAACCACACACTCAACGCTGTTCAGCCGCCCAGCAGGTTTGTTCTGCTTTATGCTGCCCGGCAGAAATGCCTGTGTTTAGCTGACTGGTTTCATGTGGACACAAAAACCTGACCCAGCTCCTGCAATCCCTGGAAACATTCTCACGGGCTCCAGCTGCTTCCGTTTGAGTGGAAAAGCACCAAGATTTTCTAAGAGGTTTCACTATTGTCATCCTTTCCCTCCAACATAGGAGCAGTTTCTTGAACTTCCAACCCATCAGACCTTTATCCCCCAAACTCTCATCACAACAAATTACTAAAGGAACAACAAAAAGTGGATGAAAAGCTGAGGAAACAGGTTCTTCCTGGTCAAAACCAGCCCCACAGAGCACTGAGTTACCAGTGTTACTTCCCTCAGTCTGAGCTCGCCCTCCTTCCGTGTGTACGGTTCGGGGCTGCTTCAGCAGGCTCTGGCTACGGAGCAGGAGTGGGAAGGCAGAGCAGAGATGGCAGGAGCTGCTTGTGGCCGAGTCCCCGGGCTCTCTCCCTGCTCATGGCGCTGCCGCTGCAGAGCGGGGAGCGGGACGGGGGTGATCCCGGCGTGCCGACGGCAAAGCACGCAGCAGAACTCCAGCACCCCACCAGCGAGCTCAGGAGCCGTCACGGATTAAACCACGCTCCGGCCTTCACCTGGCAGACTGTGTCCTGCTGCAGGTATTGAGGGATGAGTTCACCTGCTGGGACACGTCCTTCACCGGGCTGCCCCCCCGGGTTTTCACAGGGCAGCATTAGGGACGGACAGTGACTTTGTCACCGCGCTGAGCCCCAGCCGGCCTCCGCCCTCCCCAGGCCCCCACCTCACTCTTGCGCTCCTGAGCGTGCTCTGCGTCTCGCAAGGCAGACAGATGGCTCGGGCAACACCTAGTTTTTATTCTGCTTGACTCACTCAAGGCCTCCAGTCAGTTCTGCTGGTCTAGGAATTATTTTTAATGAAGAAAAGCAAGCCCAAAAAAGCCACCTTATAGTGCTATTTTGAGTCTGTCCCCATCACAGTCAGATCTTATGTCACTGCAGAGCACAGGGGGAAAACACAGGGGAAGGCATCAGACTAAGTCTATGCCAGCTGCAATTAAACGTAGTTATAGTTATTTCTTAGCAGTGGGACTTAATTAAAAGCACCTTTAGCGCTGGCAACAAAAGTATTTAACATTGGCAGCCTTTTAGGTGCCGCTGTCCTGACCGGAGGGAAACCAAACCAGCACGGTCTCTCCCACTCTTCTGGTAGAAGCGATGGAGGACGTTACTCACCGCAGGCAAGGGTTAGCCAGACGAGCTGCTGTGCGCTGCTCCCCATGGTCAGCACCGCTACAGGCCTGGGAGATGCTGCTTCTCAGCGCTGAGCCGGCGGGGAGGAAACCACGGTCTTCTGGGGACTGAAAAGTTTCACTTGGTGCAGGGAGGGCTCGGTCACATGGCTGGAAAGGAGGTGGAGAGACCAACGCTTCTCGTCTCTACGCTGCTGCAGAGGGAAATAAACGGCGGTTAGGAAAGAAGGTGGAAACAGAAAGGGCTGTGGGGCTAACAGGGGGGGTCAAGCTTTCACTGCAGCTGAGCCCTGGGACTCTGCAAGGCCACACAGAGCTTCATGCTCCCCAGTTTGGGTGGCCTGGTGCAGACTGCAGCTGCACCCCCCCTCTGCTTAAAACAAGTACTTTCTTTAGGGCTAAACTCCTCCTTTTATGTTAAAGCACTGAAGGGAGAGGTGTGATCGTGAGCTGTCTCCGCAGAGCACCTGCTGAAAGCAAGACAGGGCTGAGCAAAGCCCCCAGCGGGCTCTGGTCCCAGGTGGGGACCATTGGCAGCCTTTGCTGGCTGGTTCCATCCTGCTCCAAGCACCAAGCCTCAAGGAGGATCAGCTGGGGTCTCTCACCTTTAGCTCCGTGCCCAGAACCCTCGGCACGTACCCACGACCCACCGATGTCCCGTGAAGCGTGCCCTGCAAAGCACATCCCGCTGGGACGAGAGCTGCATCCGCACGCCAGCCATCTGCAACAGGAAGGCGTTACGCCCGCTTGCGGCAGCATTGCCAGCCCTCCGCCTTTGCCAGGGCTGGGAGGGGAACAAAGGAATGTCCACACCGGGGATCTGATGTGATCCCGATCCTTCATTTTCTCATACCAATCTTGTACTGCAGTAACGTAGGGCCAGTGACTTGAAATCTCGAGTGAGGTGAAGTTTGCCCCCAGAAACATGAATACGGGCTGAAATTACGGACAAACTATTTTGCTCTCCATACTTGGGTTGTGTTTCTACAGCCTCATTTTCACCTGCTTGCCTTCTACGTGAGCCACACCACGCACCTGGGTCGGTTAGCGCTGCCCCATAAACCACGGGCAGCCAAAGGCCTGCGGGTGCCTTGGGGGTAGCTACAGCAAAGTTACCCTACGACTTCCTTGCCTCACGGCTGCGGCGTTAGCATCCGAACTCGGAACCGTCTGCGAACCCTTGCGGTCTCCTGCGAGGCCCAGGGATTCAGGAACACGATGAAAGGGCCCACGTTGTGCCTTTTGTGACACACGTTGGACAAATAAGGTTCGGTTGGAGCGATGGGCGGGTTTTTCCAGCCGCGCTGATGTGCCTGTACCGATACTCCGGTGTGCTGAACAGAAAGCAAGCTCATCGGACTTGTTATTTCATACAGAGACGTCAAGCACATGGGTTTGTTGTAGTTACAGTTTTTATAAATTCCAAACAAAGTGTGGTTCTACACAGGTCAGAATGGCCTAGTTACAGAAAGGTCATTTGCACACTGTTTTCTTGTAATAAATTCATACATTCTGTCTTGACTGGCGAAAAAGGACAGGCAGTCCTGTGCTTTTTCCCTGTCTGATTATCTCTCATCAGTCACAATATACAAATACATCATTATCAACACCATGGAAAATACGTAAGAAAAACAGACGGTACCAATGCTCAGCTGGGGAGAGGAAACCTCAGCAGCTATTTCAGCTCCAGCTGCAAGAAGAAATACACAATTTGGCTCTTTTTTTTCTTAGTATCCTTATATATTTCTAATCATATATATATATATATTTGAAGCCAGGCTTTGAGTATTTTCAGAAAGGAGGCGCGTGGCCTTTCTCATACCCACTCCTGTCTGAAATCTTGGAGTTTAAGAAAATTATGGATAATAAGATGGCTTTTTGTCACATACACAACCAGAATCTGAGACACGTGCACAGCTTGGCTGTCACTGGCAGAAAAGCCACTGCTCAGACACGGTTTGGCCGCAGCTGTTTGGGATCATGACAACAACCGTTGGTCTGATTTTCCACTCGGTGGGGCTGGACTGTAAGAGGAGGAGAGGATCAGGCCCGGCTGCATTTCGGCCTGGTTTCTGAAAGCAAGACGGGTAGGACGGCGACTGCCCATCCATCTGCTTGCTCTCACCGCCAGCAAGGAGGGAGTCCGTCGCCCAACTACGCCCGACTGAGCCGAGGGCAGTTTCGAGAATGTGAACTTTCTGCATGTTCACGGAAGCTGGCAGCAGAGCGGAGGGAGGAGATCCGACCCAAAACCTCAGCCCAGAGGGCAGGTCTCACCAGTCCAGACCCGGGGGGAGCAGGCAAGCAGCTGGCACGGACTCGGGGGTGACACTGCACGGGCACAGTGCTCAACCACAGGTGCTGCTACAGCACACACCAATCTTGGACCTCGTCTTCTACCACTGAGGCGTAGTGGCAACCATTACTTTTAAATGACTTTCTGGTCACTGTGTCATCTCCAAACAACACTGAAATGAAATGCCTGTTTGAAAACTATGATTTTTAGGTCCATCTACCTGAAAATGATGGTGTCAAAGACCTACCTACAGAACACGTATACCTTAACGTACACAGTAGTCTTGCTGGACATTACCAATTCATATTCTAGACTGTACATGGAGGGTCATTCCCTTAATTATCTCCTTGCTTGACGGAAGCATGGTAATTAAAAGACTATCCTGTCTACTATTAAAAGAAAAAGTCATCAAACCCCATTTTGTCTTGTCAGCAAAGCCAGAAGGTTACTTCTTGTTGGCTGCTCTGAGACGTGTCCGCAGCCTGGTCTGTCTTGAACTTCATCCTCCAAAAGCAAGCCCAGCAGCGTGGCTCTGTCTCGCTTCCATCTGCACCGCAGGCATCCGCCGGGCGAGGGGCCCGTCGCTCCCCAGCAGCAGCTGCAAGGACTGCAGCACGGGCTGGGTTTGGAACGTGGAGACCAAGACGGTGAGCTGCCTTTGGCCGCACTGCAGGAAGGTGAGGGGTTGCGAGCTGCCTGCTCGGGTTCCGTGGTGTCTGAGGGGAGCTGGGGTACAGTCAGCTCCCAGCGACGGCTGGGTCCAGCGCGCCGTGCCACTGCCACACACCGCCACGGGGCAGGGAGTTACCCGCCACCCCCAGGACATTCACAGTGCAGGAGTGACTCCAGCTCTGGTACAACAGGGTAAAACATGGGATTTTGGAAACAAAACAAATCGCTTAGAAAAGCAAAGCCGGGGGTGAATTGTTACACTGCAGCCCACGCGGCAGCTGTCGTGATGGGGCGGTGAGCTGGGAGAGAGGAGACGCTTCTGCAGCGATCCTCTTCCCTGCTCCGGCTCTAGGCTGCCCCGCAGGACTAACACGGAGGGCACAGTGGTACACAGGGGTCTGAATACTTTGCTCGCCCCTTCAGGGTCCCCGATTTTTGCATACGTGATAAAGTTTAGCATCAGAATTCAACATACGGGGAATCCAGTAGGTCCCATTTCACAGGAAGCTAGCGAGGCACCAAGGGATATAGCACTAGCACGCTGTCACCCTGCACACAGCAGAGGTAGGAAATGGACTGACAATACCTGATCTTCTGCCTTCCGTTCCCAGACACCCCACTGCCATTCCACTGTTAGAAGGAGACTCCTCCAAAGTGCAGGTTTGCATCTTACCGTCAGCCAGCAATGTCACAAATCCTAGTTTTGGCAGTTTCACATACCCTGGGTCACCCAGCCCCATCTCTCACACACACACACACACACTCACTATATTCACTGCTGTGCAATCCAAGCTCCCTACCCTTTCCCTCTCCTGTTCTTAGGGCAGGGGTAGACATCAGACTGTGCAAAAATTACTGAAAGCAATACAGAAACCAAACAAACTCATTTTAGGGAGAGGATAAAATAATTGCACCACAAGAAAATATCACTGCATATGTTCTGGAGGGACCAGAAGGAATCAGTTCTTCCCTCAAGCTGCGCATAGCTACAGCAGACTAACGGGATTCGTGTTCCTGAGAGCCCCTGCGACATCATTAAGGTACACAACCAGCGCAAAACAGACAAACTCTTACCTCTGTAGGGCAACATCAGCTTCCAGAAAGGTACAGAACCCTCAGGTCCTTTAGTCGTGAGCAGAAAATGCCAGAAATCACAGAGTTTACGTAGGGTTAGAAGAACCAAGGGAATTAACTGCCACAGTGCAACTCATAATTAACCAATAAGCCTTCACAGGCAAACAAAATCCAACTAAACCTTTACCTACTCCAAGGGTTTTTCTTGAATGGGACTATCCTAGTGCTTCAGAGCTATCCTGACTCACACACTGGGATATCTGCAATGCCAGCCTCTGCTGAGACACAAAGGAAAACATTCGGGTCCCTGCAAAGACGCTAACAGGAACGGGACAGACTCCTACTACTTTGCCCAGAGGCTCAAATACTAAAAGAAGGGTTTTGGTTTTGCTTCATCTCCACTGTTAGTGCTTTTGCCCCTTTGTTATTTACACTGAGCACCACTAGTCTCAGGGTTGAACAGAAAACCCCTGAGAGTGAAAGCCAATCGCTCATTGAGCTTCTGGGGACATCCTTACCAGGCTGGTCTCTGCCCGTTTGCACCCCTTCGTCAACACTTACCTCTAGTGAAGTACCAGCAGCTTTTGTGGGACCTAAGACCCAATCGCCACCAAAATGCCTTCGTGCCTTAACAGCTGCTCTAAATGAGCTAATGGCTTGTACAGGAATAACAACATCTGGAATCACTTTATATTTTACATTACATCCTTGCGTGACAGAGATTCGGTACAGTCCTTTGATCAAACGTCCTGGCAAGAAGTGTTTAACACCACCACCCTGTCCACTCCTCGGAGCATCTAATGCTCACCACCTATATGCAGTGCTTAAGTATATTCCAAACGGGGGATGAAATGTATCTACTCCATAGCCCAGCACAGGAAGAAGCATGCAGTCTACTCAAACCCATGACGTTAAATGGCATTCATCGGAATTCTCGGCACTAAATGCAAAGGATTGTGATCCAGCAACCACAGACTGCAGAGGAATGACTTGGATTGTGAAAGGAGTTCAAATTGTTCGTTGTCACAGTAGCTGTCACACGTCTTTGCTTCCCTGCTAAGCCCTGCACCTCCACCTTGTAGCCAGGAGTTGCCACCAGCGTGACCCCAACACACGCCGCCGCAGCAGGTCGTTCCCGGCGCCACTGCAAAAGCACTCCCACCGCTGCTGCGCGAAGCCTCGCTGACGGTCCAAGCCAGGGGTTTCCCTTCCACAGCCACCCAAAAACGGGATGTTTTTGGTGTTGACCGTCAGCAAAAAGGGCACGTTTGTGATGTATCCGCTGGAATTAAGGAGGACAGGGAAGGCACAGCCAGAGGCAAGCAAAGGAGAAAAAACCTCCAGACGACCCCATGGTAGAGCAAGGGCTCGGCACGGTGCGTGTGTCCCTCCGCAGTAACTCGCTGCTCAGGCAGTGGTGCCAGAAGGGGCGTGCATAGTAATGCTTCAGCTCTGCTGTCGACCTAATTTAGGCCACATCTTCTGAAACAGTTTGATAACCAACGTGAGAAGCTTTTTTCTCCCCTAATAATGAAGGAGGGGTTTGATGCTTTGTGGATGTCTGTAATGCTCCTTTCAGGTCTGTGTTTCCCAGCTTGCCAGGTGGACAGCACAGTTCTCGTCCGCTCGTGCTGATAAAGTTTTAGTGAATTATGAACCTCAGAGCTTGTGAGAAAGGCAACTTTGATCCAGCGTCCACCCAAATAAAGAGAGATGGATGGGGTCCTGAGGAAGGCTGGTCCTGCTGTTCAGCTGCCAGCCCTCTGTTCTGCTGGGAAGCTTCTGGCCACCTCGCTCTCCTTGGTGTCGGACTCTACTGAGGCCGTGCTGCAGGAATCGTTGTACATGTCTGAAAAGGAGGACATGGGCAGTGTCACTACAACATGTCTAAGGGGTTTCCCAGCTACAGTCTTGAGGTTCATTGTTAAAAGCCTGAAATAAAATAAAAAGTAAATAATGACAACTGCCCTGTTCTCCTAATGCCTCCACCGAAGGCAAGGAGGCTCCTTTGGTGTGTAACTGACTGTAGTGTGGGGGCAGATTTTTGTTTGGAAGCATTAGCCGTGCCAGAGAAGTGAGAGCCAGGGTTAGGGGCGGAGGGCGAAGGCAGAACTGACCTGCTGCGGAGGTGAAGGAGCAGCAATCACCAAACTCCCTTTAAGCCACAGCAGAGAATCCTGGTTGGCTCTCAAAAGAGTTTCCTTCACTTTAACCAACTGACCCAAAAAACCATCAAAGGAAACCAGCAGCTGGGGACAGAATGGTGGCAGCGCCCTGTCACAGGTCCCAGGGAATGGCTGTGCCAGATGTCGCTTTTGTTACCAGGAGAAGAGCGGGACACACTTTGGTAAATTCTAGTTAAGGATAGGCATAAATCAATCTAAAACTGTAAACCTTTGATCAGCAGAGTTGCCGAGATTCAGCTTTTCCCATACAGCCTGCTTGGGCGTTAGGTTAGAACCAAGCTGAAGAACAGCTTGTTGGGTGCTTTTTGTGCTGATGGGGCTGAAATCAGAGCAGCCCTTCCTCCAGCCTTCGGAGCCAGCAGTGAAATACGATGAAAGCGGTAACAGTTCATGAGATTTCAGTGTTTTCAGACCTCGACCAGAACCGCAGCCCCGATGCTGGTGTAAACCCAAATGCTGCCTGTCGGGATGAAAGCTGTCCTGCAGTTACAACACACCTTGCCACGTGCCACACCTGGGCTAGCTGTAAAGCAGCCAGCCTGGGCACTGGCAGCCAGAGGAGGTTGGTGGAAGATTCCAGTTCTGCCTGGGAAAGGGAAAGCAGTTGAACCACGCCAAGGTAAGCTGCTGTGCCTACCTCGCTCTGACACCGAAGGCAGCAAACCGGGCGAGCTCAGCTGCATCCCCCGGGACTGCAGCGCAGACATGCGCTCAGGCCGGGCACTTTATTACAGGAAGTGCACTGTTTCTCACATCCTTCCTTAGTAGGGAAAAAAAAAAGCACCAGTAACACAATTCCTCTGTTACCTGCGTTGCTGTTCTTAATTATGTTGTTGCTGTCCCCCTCTGCTGGCTGCAATATACTGGAAGGAACCCAGTCGCTTTTCTCAGAGACCAGTTTCTTCACTAACCTGAAAATCAGAGAACAGTCAGTGAAATTCCCTGCATTCCCTTTCCCTGGTTGTGCTCCTGAGAGCTGTATGTTGGGCAGCTATTTCCCAGATGGAGACGGAAGGCAGAGGATGCAGGGAAGTCCTACAGGTAGCCGGTGACGGTGTTTCACCCCGTATCCTAGAAGGAGATGGCTTGCAAACAGACTGTGTGGGCACGGAAGCAGTGGCCTTGGCCTGTGTCTGAGACCCTGGGCCAACGTCAGCGCTGAAGAAACTGAGTTTTTCACGCTGCCCATCCCCCCTGCTGTAAACATCATCCAGGGTGGATGGGTTTAGTTCACTCCCCACCTACTTCATGCTATGGGACTTGCTCCCATCTCCGTGGGGAGTGAAGAGTCTGACTGCGTGGGCGCCTCAAGGAGATCAGACCTTCTGCCTCTGAAGTGCCCACGGAAAGAGAGTTCACATGTCCAGCCAGGTCCGTTCCGAACACTCGTCAGCCGTACGCCGAGACCTGTGTGAGCTCACAGGGGACACATTCACTCCGTTTGGTCAATCACATCTTATTTCTAAGCCTTTGGGGCTCAGAATGCTCCCTGGGTCACTGCTGCATTCGGTGGAAGCATGGGGATCTCACTGCCGTATCCTATGGGAGGGTGCTGCTGTGACAGTTGTCCTTCCGGCTTTTGGTGTCAAAAGCCCAAATAGTCCCCTCTGTGTCCTTTATGCAACCTTTCATCCTCTTAAACCTCATGTCTCAAGTGTTTGGGATGTGGAATGGAATTAACCAAAGCTGCTTCTATGTTTGTGCCCCCCCCCCCACTGCCTCTTTCAGTGTGGTCAACGGGGTGAGTGGCTCTGGACCCATTTCGAAGAGGCTTTGATATTCTGCTGACCATTTTCCATTTTCCCAGGAGGTTACAGCTGTTCTACCCGTCAAGTTCTGTCTCTCTGCTGTACTTACCATTGACCGTTTTCTCCTTCCTGCACAAACTGCACTAGATCTCCGTCCTCGAGTGTAAGAGAGTCTGGGAAACAGCTGTCAAAACTGCCTTCTACCCGGAAAAGATTGGTGCCCTGAAAGGAAACAGTGCACCAGCAGTACAGTCACTATGGGTGAAAGAAGAGGGTGCAAGAGAGCGAGTTCAGTCAAACACTGGATTAGGCATTTCAGGCTGGCAGAGATTTCTGCTGTAACAAATTGTATCCTTTCTTATTCCTTTTACCAAGCCCAGGTTAAGTATTATTTGAATTTAGGACAGAACTCTGCTGTGCATTCAGGCTTTAGAATTAACCAGCCAGCCATTATTTTGACACAGAAATCGTGTTTGCGACACCAGGTTGAATTATCTGCAAAAGTCTGAAACCACTTTTTTAAAGGCTCAGTTTTCCTCCTTTGTGTTGCCTACCCACACAGGCGAAGCTACAGCTTACAGCTGTGGTCCTGATCGATAAAATAGTCTTGGAATAATGCCCCGACACCCCAGATCAAATTCCCATCTTCTGCCTTCCCACACATCCGTGAATTTAAGGCTCGTACGAACCCAAACGTTGCAGGCTAAATCATGACCTTTAAAGAGGAGGTCACGCTGGGGAAGAGCAGTGAAACTGGAAAAAGGAATTACATTGTTAGGGTTGGTCTCTTCCTCCAAGTCCGAAGAGTTGGAGAGTTCGTCTGTGCTGGAGGGGATGGCTTCGAAATCTTCAAATGTGTCTAGAGACGGCATTTGCCTGCTGGGCCAACCTTTTCAGAGGAGATAAAACAGAGTTAGCCGTCAGTCATTAGCCTCTTTCAGACTCAGTCTTTTAAAAACAAATGCCACAGGTTCACTTCCCACTATTCCACTTACTGAATTGCTTGGACCTTTTTACAGCTTGTGCCCTGATTTTGCCATAAAAATTACCCCGCAGCCATTATTCTCTGTAAAACCTGTACCCCTTGCTGTCATTTGCGGGAGGGCAGGTTGTGTGGCCACGGTGTGCCTGTCCACCACCACCCTGAGTGTTAAGCATTGCTCGAGCTCTTCAGCTCAGGATCCACAAAAGCCAAGGACCAGGAATATTTCTGCAGAGCGAGTGCCGCAGCAGATCACCCTTTTGCTGACGTGATTTTCAGAAGATCATGCTCGTTCCATTTCCAGCTCACCTCCACACATTTATCTATATCCAGAAGCCCGAAGCCACTGATTTTTGGTTGATTTATCACCTCCATCTCACCCAAAGGTGATATTGCCACCTGAGCAACTTACAAGACTGTCCCCTGGAGCAGGCTGAAGCGCAGGGAAGGGATGGAGTAAACAGCGAGGCACAGAGACAACCAGACCTTTGGTAGTAGATAGTGAAGATCTCATTCATATTTCTGCTGTTAGCAGCAAAATCGCATGGTTTGCACGCAAAAATACCCCAGCCCAGTGGAAGACACCTAATGAGATTTCCAGCCCAAGCCCGATCTCTTTACCTACAAAGCATGCCCACAGGATGCATCCTGAGGGGAATTCAGGCTGAGCCTGACAAGACCTGCCTGCCCGAGGCTCACGTGAGGGAAGGGCAGAACAGCCTCTCCTGCACAGAGGGCAGCCTGGCCCTACCCTGTCCTTCGCACGTGATGCCTGTCCGTGTTCTGTCAGGGGTGGCTGCAGTCCAGCTTGGAGAAAATAGACTTTGCATCAACCAAGGGATCCCGCAGCCCACACAGACACAAGCTGGACGGTGTCGGTCATAGCACCTCGTGCCTTCCTCTTAAGGTACCTGCGGCGCGTTAGCTGAGTCACAGGGACTTGTGCTGAGCAGATGCCGACTCCAGCTCTCTACGGCCCGTGGGCCACTGCTCTGAGAAGGCACAGAACCAGACGCTGGTGTGGTGGGACTTGGCATAACCCAGCACTCGCAGCGCACACCAAAACCTGGCCCCATACAATACGAAATCAAGTCAGGCCGTTCCGGGAGTAAACAGAAAAGTGATCTGATCTGGGAGAAAGAGGTTTATTAATTGATCTATTTAATCCCTCCCCGTGTCCATCCTCCCTGCTGCAAGCACCGGTTGGTGCAAAGCGGTCCTGCAGCTCTGCAGGCCCTTCTCCTCTCCCCTGTCACAGCGGGGTGGCTGCCCTGACCACGGCAGCTCAGTTACCAGTGGGACAATGACCTCCTTCCACCCGCGCAGCATCCCCGGTGACAGCCCTACAGCTACGGCCAGGTCAGCCACACTCTGCGGGGTGTGATGCCTCTCCTGGGCTGGGTGGTGAGTGTCCCTGCCAAGGTCTATACCAACAGCGTTTTGAGGCAGAAGAGACCGTTTCAGTTACAGACCGTGCAGCACGTACTCCATCAGCTGAATCACACCAGCGGAATACCAGCAACTGGCTCAGTGTACAGGAATATACCAACCCTAATTAGCTTTACAGTGCTACTGCCATTTTAATTCAGATTCAGAGGTTGGGCTACAAACACCAGAAGTAAAAGATATCACCCTTCCTGCTTAGCAAAGCTTCAGGGAATCTTTTGCCACTATTACTTGTAGGAAGCATCCAAGGCAGAAACCCAATCAGCAAGGATTCCTTACAAATACATGCACGAGCCTTCCTCTTCCATACAAATTGCTATTCTAATTTCAGAGACCAAGAAATAGCCTAAATTTTACGTTCTTCATAAAATAACTCAGATCAAATTCTCTGACATCAATTAAAAGAGTTATTTTCAGCCGTGCCCGGCCTATAGAAAAACAGAATCTGAGAGGTTGTTTCCATACCTGCTAGTGATCAGGGCTTGTTCTTTCATTGCTTTCGTGAGAGACAATGTTCATTAAAACAGAAAAATCTCTTTAAGCTAAAAAGAGTAAATACTATAAATTGATATTACACTCCCAAATTGAGACAATAAGCGTTGTAGTTTTGTTTACCTGTCTGTGAAGCTGATCTAGGTACAGGTCTCGTGGTGGAACCGGTATTACATTTAGTCTGGGCCAATATGGTGTTCTCAAAAGCATCTGTGACAGGAAGTACAATTTTGTGTCTTCGAGGGGAAACAGTGACCAGACAACCAGAACAACGTGAATTCCGGTACCACCTCTGCAACTGGCAGTCTCTTTAACAAACACGCGGACGGGGGTCCAACAGTTACAAAAGAGGAGACACATGACCAACACCAATGAGTGAAAAACCAGCAGCATTCCACAGAAAAACTAAGTCTGAGAAGGACAGAGAACAGCCAAATGAATCCAACAAATACGGATGTTAATTAAGGAAAAGGATGGCTGGGTGAACAGTGCAGTGTTCTATTTCACTACAGATGTCTTACTTGTTCTTAAGATGTTTTCTTTGCAGCATTTCAAAGCATGCTGCAGGTGATGGTGCACATTTTGATGCCCATCCATGTAGCAGTGAAAGGGAAGTCGGGAGGCTCTTCTTCCCAGCCAGAAATGAATGACTGTGCTCTTGCAATGCAATTTTGTGAGGGAAGCTTTTATCCAAGTACATCAAATCCTCCGTGAAGTAACTCTGTCAGAGCTCTGGCAATAGCACAACATCCTCTGGTAAAGGGATGATAATGTTCACCGTTTCCCACTTAAAGGAACTCAGTCTGGCGAGGCATGTGTGCAGCAGGACCATGTTTTTAACCAGTGCGGATCAACTCAGCTCTATCCTATGGATAATAGCACCTCAAAATACCCCTGTTTCTGCAGCCACATGGAGAACAGGAGTATCTGCCACTGAGGAAACTGAGGTATAAACACCACAGTTTGGGACACTGTGGCGCTGGGTGCCAGGATATGTTCCAAACTTAGTGCCAGGGCTCACTGGCAAGAGGAAATGCGCTGCCACTTCTTCCTCTGCTGCCTCTGAACTGTTTCTTCCAACCTCTCTGTTCCAGTCTCCTCTTTTACTGGGAGTGACACAGGCTATAGCTCCAGTATGTCACCAGTTCCTTCACTGACCTGGCCACCTGCCCTTTCTACCAAGGTTTTGTACAGAGCAACACAATCCTAAGGCAGGATTCCTTGGCTTACATCTATCTCCTCCCCGTCCTGCAGCAGGAGGGAACAAAGCAACACGCTCCGGCAAATCCTCATGCAAAGGGAAAAGCTGACAATGGAAGCTGGCCATCTTTCAGTGGCTGGGGAATAACTTCCCAGTTTAACACTTTGGTATTGTTTAGTAAACATTAATTGATTAATCCGCTGCAACAAGCAGGTGGAAATTCTGCTTGGCTGAAATGAAACACTGCACCTTAAATGGATGTCAATGCACAGTCCAGCCTCTTGTGCAGTCGTCATGCCCATGGCTCCTGCTCCCCTTACTCGGTACAGACACTAACAAGGGAAGAGGGATGCAAGCGGCCAGGCTGCAGGTGAAGGTGAAAATTAGCCCCCTGGCTCCCTGCTGCTGCACTCCACGGAGTGAGGTAGGAGCCAGACAGAAAATCCAGATCCAGATCAGAGTCTAGAGCGTTACTTCCCAAAGCAGGCAGAGAACTGGGGTTTTAACTGAGGCCCATCCCTAGGTGAAAGTTGGTAAATACAGGATGAGTGCAGGGGACAGGCAGGGGGTGACAAGCTGCATTCATCACAGTTAAACCAACACCAAACCCTAGTGTTGTCCACACCAGGGATGAGATGGGAATTCAGTGCCAAACAGGTTTGCATGCAGGATGGAAGTACTCATACCTTCAAACCCCAGGGGAGTTGGGTCACTCTTTATTTCGTGTCTCTTGACTTTAACTGCAGGAACAAGGGGACCTGTGTGAAGTTTGCAGAGTCACAAGGCTGTAAATACTGTTAAAGGAGAAACTTGCTTTCCCGTTACCTAGAAACGCTGCCTGCCTAATACGTTTCATTTTGCCCAGAAAAATGACCAACCCCTAAATTCTAGGTGGTGAAGATAAACACTTCTGTGATGCGGAGAGGAAACAGACCCCTTTTTGCAAAAGGCATCACGACACAGTAAACGCATGTGCCTCCGGTGAGGTTTCACGGACGTTTTCCCTCACGCTTGTCCAGGAGATGGCACTAACGCCGGCAGACGCAATCTCAGCTTTCCACCCGTGAGGCTGGCAGGGAAAAGTTCACAAAAGCCAACACGTGTGCCCCACGGAAGCGGAGGGCATCCCTCACGGGTCCACGTGCAGTGCTTCTCCTGTGTGCTGACCCCACACGTGCGGACCGGTGATGTGAGGGAGCAGCCAGGATCAGCACACTGCAGGATGCAGTTGCCGTGAGCGAGACGATCCAAGCACCCTGGGCTAGACCTGCATCCGGCTAATCCCGAGACAAGACTCAGGCTTCAGTTCTTTGGTCAGCGGAAATGTTTCCCTAAAGCAGATGCTGTAAATAAAGCACTTCATTGGAAAGCATTGATTTTGCTTTCTAGCTTTTAAAATTGTTACAAATGTAGTTTTTCTCAGCAGCCCAAAAAATTGCCAGTGACCTTGTGATGGACAGGACCCTAGGGCAGGATTTTTTTCTGTGGAACGGTAACAAAGTTTAACTGTAACTCACACATGCTGTCCTGTGGAATGGTAACAAAGTTTGAATTTAACTGTAACTCACACATGCTGTCCTCAATAAACCACAAGAAAGAACAACCCTTGGCTTCCCGTTCTCCTTCCATATGTGCTTCTTTCTGTTCCCCATTTTAGAGCATAAATATTGGGAAATGATTCAGTCTGCCCATAACAATCACGTATTCCTGAAGCTGTTGCCAAGGGCATAAAGCTATGAGAACCTCTTGTCCTGTGCTATGCCATTTCCTTGTAGTGATGTCGTAGTGCTGTGGTCTAAAGGGGCTGGCAAAGAACATTGTAGGCAATATGACGCTGCCAGTAAACCCCACTATTCTCTTCTTTCATGACACCTTGGCAGTAGGTTGTTTCAGACACCTGTTGCTTCATTGCACAGTCGAGGATACGGTTCATATCCTCCACAACTATTTGGAATGCGCTACATCGAGTACTGTGCAACCTTCTTCCTCACAAATACATAGCAGAAATTTTTATACCAAGGAATTCAGCCATTTTCCCTTCTATTTTGGTGTGGGAATTGCCCCACAAACCTTAAACTGCCAAATCAGTTCCCCGCTTCATTCCAGGAACTGCCAAAAGACAGTATATTCAGAATTTGATGTAAGGCCACGTGTCTGTTTTCAAAAGCAACTCTGACATGTAGGCACAGGTGCCTACAGTCCTACAGATTCTCAACACAACCAGCTTGCCCAAATGCACGGGTTGCTTTTGAGTTTAAATGTTGGCACTAGTGCGATAAAGTAAATTTGTAAAAGTGCTTTTTCTCTAAATAATTACTCTAAATAATAATTACAGCTTTGGGATCTTCCCACACAAAGTGCATAGAGTTCAGCGCATTCTAGGCACCTACCTCCCCTCCACATCTGAAAATTGCCTTGCAATCATAACTTCTAATCAAAATTGTGATTATGCTAACTATTCTTAAAACCAGCATCTATTGCTACTCCATTTTTTGCCTTGATTTCAGTCTTTCTGATCTGATGTCTGCTACCCAATGAGGAGATTCTCTCCTTCCTGAAAGTAAACATTCTACACAGCTTGAGGGAAACAGAGAAATAATTTCTATTGAATTTCAGTTAATCCAAAGCAGGGAGAAGTTGGAAACCTAACCCCACATCAGCCAAAAAGTAATCCAGTTTCCATGGAAACCAGCACCACTCTTGGAAGCCTATGATGGAGAAACTGAGCAGAGTCATTCTATATGCTGGCAGCACACCTTGATACACATTCAAAATGCCTTTGCCTGCCTCCCCGCAGGTGCTACGCTGCTCCTGACTCTTCCTCTGCTGGAACCTCCTGCCCTGACAAAAATCCAGGCTGAGGTACTCACTCGGTGAACAGCAGCTGGCAGTGACGGGATCAGTCAGCGGGAAGGGAGAAGGGGAGCTAAGCAAGCAGCATGACAGTACCTTTGGTCACAGCAGGAGCATTAACTGTGGTGCTGATGGAGGAGGCTAGGGAAAAGCGACGGGTAACTTCTCTTTCCTTTGATTCTGGATCTGGGAGAACAGACAGATGCAATGCAGGGCAGGATTAGAGGTTAATAAGCACTGGGGGTAAAAGATGTCCAAAGCAAAGCAGCAGCTGGAAAAGGGTAAATAAAAGGTAGGTTGCTCCTCTGAAACAGCCAGGAAAAATACCCTCCACAAAGTGAAAAGCACAGAAAAGAGTTTATATGAACATATTTTCAAAGCAATTCCAATCACACCGATTTTAATACTGCAGAAAGGAGACTTACGCCAATTAGGATTTTAGCAACCCACCAGTGACTAAGTCCAGCTACAGAACACAGAGATGAGTGTGACGGTTAGAGCGGGGTGTGTGTCTACAGATGAGGTTGGGGTTGTTTCAGACACTGAACTGCTTGTTCTGTGATGACTGACCTGAAATACACTGAAAACCAAATATGGATGGTTTGGATTCACATTTGTCATTTCTACAAGTTAACTGTGTGAGTGCCTGAGAATGTTCTCTGAGCCTCCGTCCTTACTGGTACAAACCAGCCTGGAGAAAGTGAAGGGAAAAGAGCTTTTTTACTCCAGTTAGGATCCTGCCTTTTCTCAGAGCTCGCTCAGGAATGAGGACACAACTTCCTCAGATTTCCCTATAAGATGTGAACAGCATTTTTGACTCCAAATATTTCATAAACAGGTCCAAGGTATAAATGGGCTGTCTGTCTGTCAGCTTCAGGGAGCACATGACGTTTGAAAAGATGCTGAGGTCATCAGGCAGCTCTTGAGACACCGTGTCTGCACATCTACAAGCGCATCAATACACTTCCACTTGCCAATTACAGCAGCACCCCTTGGGAGAAAAGGTTGCTTGCTTACAGATACTCCAGGATAACTCCTAGTCTCCTCTGCTGGAAACACTCTAAGCACATGTGCTGCATTACTCATGGGAGCATTCCTACTCTTCATACACTTCCAATCTCAGTTTCAGTAAGATACTTGGGCACTCAACTCTACCAGGACACCACCTCCGTTGAAAATGGTATTAGAAATTACTTCAAATAATCTGATGAAGCTTTTCAGTTTTGTCAAACACTCTTTGTGATTTTCATGGGTTTATGTTTTAAAATACGTAAGAAATACATGGGTAAAAATGGAAGGGTTGGTTCAATTTTTACTCAGAAATTTCCTGAGGTAGGTGAGGCGTAGTATCACGCAAAGCTCTCTGTGGCACGTGTTTACATGCTTTTCTGAATCTCAGCCCAGACATTCCCAGATGGTGCCTGTGACTCAGAGAGACTTTTCTGTTCAATTGTCTTTCTCCTGTCATGTCTAGCTTTTATCTCTCTCTCTGGGTCTCTTTTTTCCCCTCCCCATAGTTAACTGGCACACAGCACTGGGGTAAAGGAAGTTTCACGGGATTTTAAATTTCAAGTTTAAGTGTCCTGTCCAGAACGATACTACTGTGAAAACTTCCTTGCCAGGGATCTTCAAAATTCTCTTTCCCATTCCTCATCTTCGCATTTTCTTATTTTAGTGCTCAGTCACAGAACATTTCACTTTATTTTTTTCCATATTTCTACCTAGGAAATCTCACATTTGTTCTATGTTTCCAGTGGAGCAAAAACTAGCATGACTGGTGGGATAGCAATTCCTAGAACATTTCATTATGCCAAAACATCAGGAAACCATGTCCGCCCCTAAAAATCTCAGTGCAATTCTACCTGTAGGTTGGCCTCTGTACAAAGACTGTAAATTCAGTATCTGCCAATACACCTCCTTTTTGCTTTACTCGTGAAAGCACATATATTCAAGTACATCCTTATTCACACCTCCCAAGAGGCTGACGGAAAATGGGAGGTTAAACCCTGCTCTCGGGGATCATTACAACAGAATGACCCCACATTTAGGCTGCTGTAGCTGCCCTTACTAAAAAACAAACAAATTTCACTTTACAATCACGGTGTTGGGCTGCATTTCCACCACATCACGCAGCCCTTAGGGACCCTGTGCCAGTGCTGAGGAGTAGGAGCTTGGCTCTGCAAACCAGGACAGCTAACGCTGGCGGGGAAGATGCAGGGTGTGGGCTTTTGCACGCGTTGCTGCCAGCTCTGCTGTGGCTGCCCCGGCATCCCTGCTGCTGGAGTGCGGGAGGGTAAAGCTGCTCCTCCAGACATCAGCCTTCCTTTGGCCAGAACACCAAGGTGCTGGTATACAATGTTTTCTACCCCATCATATGTAGCCTGGGCAGACAGTTCAGCAATGCTCTGAGCATCCATGCTCCACTGCCAGTTGATATCTACCAGGCAAAATTGTCCCCTCCCCCCAGCTAGTATTGTTATTTTATTGGTTAAACCTTCCCTTTTCTGTGTTCTGGGCATGGACACAGCGGGTCTGAACCAAAGCACGCTCAGCTCAGCATGCCATCTCCTGCCATGGTCAGTAGCGAGCCCTTAGACAACGGGGTCAACAGCAGAGCAAGCTCTAATCGCAGTAACTCCTCTGTTACCTTCCCACAGCTTCTGATGGCCTCAACGGCCAGTCCCCACAGCGCTAGCACAGCTTCGCACTGCCACCGCCCGCAGAAACGGGCACACTCTGCACACCATCCAGGCTGTTTGCCTGCTAGGCCGGGGCCAGATTAGCTGCTGAGCAGCACAAGAAAGTGCAATGGGGCATTGTGTAATAGAGGGGCTTGACAGGAGTCTCAGGTAACCAGACCCAGCAAGTTGTGGAGCTGAGAGTGCCTACAGCTTGCAGGTATGAACTCTTCTGAACCGTGCCTTGCTGTCTGGAACACGGAATTGCTGCATACCATGCAAGACATTTCACCTGACAAGAAAAACAGAGATAAAATAGCAAAAGAGGCCCAAACCAAAACTGCAGATCCAAACTCATCCGAATTACTGCATTTCTGATCTCTGTACACACCTCTGAAAACCACTCCCTTTTTTTGTACTGAGAACACTGAACTGATTTGTCCATCTTGGATCTTCCTACCAAGTGCAGCCTTAACCTTGCAGCCAGAATCTTACGGCTGCTCTGGTGCTCACTGTGTTCTCGTCTACTTTATAACACTGTCATTTTTATTCTTTCATCTTGCTTCTTCCTCCTTTGATGCTCACCCCCTTCATCACTGCACACTAACCCTTTGTCTCACGGAATAAATACGGTTTATCAGAACAGGAGAAAAGTCATATGATAACAATAAAAAGAGTAACGACATTATCTTTTCAGAAAGTAATTGCAAAGAGTGGTTCAATTTAATTTCTGTTCACATTTCCTTCTTCCCTCTAAAGTCTCTCCCTCGTATAGCATCCACAGGAACACACAATGCTTTCTGCTCGTGGATATTAAGTGTCTACTAAACATTCATGCACAAAGACTCAGAACACACCATTTTACAGTGTCATATAACATAATTAAGTAGAAATAGCAATAAACCCCAGATCTTCCGGTCCCTCGGTGTAACCAGTGGGCCATGGCTGAGCACCATTTGAGAAAAGCAAAGAGGTCCAACCAACGAACAACTGAACACACGAAAGCCTCGCGTCGCACAACACAACGACACTCTTCCCTTCAAGCCAGTAAACTGCTGAAAGAAGTTAGGCTGGTGGTTCAAAACACATTCACACTTTGGCCCTTGAGAGAAACTGGAAATGAGTGTTATTTGCGCTGTGCACCAGTAAAAGATCCAACCAGTCAGCTCAAGGGTTGCCTCGCCAACACTGCCGTGGGAGCGAATTTCGGTAACAGCGTTTTTGAGAAGAGGAGCCATTGGTGTGTGTCAGACAGGAGCGTTTTGGTGAGATGCAGCAGCACTTTAGGAAATAGTGATGGATGGCACTATGGGATGGACAGAACACTGTGGGAGTGCAGGAGACAGATGGCCAGAGACCAAATGCTGCATGGGGTGATTTTACCTTTGGGTGGAGCTCTGCGGTTGGAAAGACCTTGCAATGTGAATCGCTTTCTAGCAAGCGCTGTGCGCTCAAGGTTAAGGCTGGTGGAAGCATCAACTAGGAGAGAGAGGGAGAGGGAAGAGAAATAAGGAAGGAAGGGTCAGCTGTTCAGCTTATGGGAAAGGAAAGGTTAGCACTGGATGACAACTTAAAATAAATAAATTTTGATTCAGTTCAAGCCTGAGCAAGAGCTAATCAATTAGAAAGGTGACATGAGGTCAGGGTGATTAAACCAGCTGAGCCAAAGAGACCCCTGGGTTGAGTTTGGCTCAGTGAGGTTTTAATGGAGAATAACAATGAAACAAAACCAAAGAAAACAGGTGAAGGGATGTAGCTCTCATCAAAGGAAAATACAGTTTAGCAGCAAGCTCATCACAAAGGATCCAGCATCTCTTGCTATGAAAACACACCACTGTGGTTGGAACAGCACGGTTGTAGGGGGAAATAAGAGAAGCAGCCTTGCAGCGCAGGACACGTACAGACAGCAAGGTTGTGAGCAGTGCCCCTTCTGCTATCCAGCCCTAGCCCTGACCAGCCCCGTGGCTGACACGCTCTCAGCCTTACCTGCTGAAGCCTTTCTAACAGCCTCCAAAGCTGGCGTATAGGCATGCATTTGATCTCATGACTTGCTGGGATGTAGGGAGTGCCATGCCAGCAAAGCTCACCTGCCAGGCTCCTACACAAACAGCCAGCCACGCCAGTCGCCTGTGTAGAGATAATTCATGGATGGATCTAGGTCCTGAGGCTCTGGGTCTGAACGGTACCCAGTTACTCATACTGCAGGAAAGAGGTGGGCCTAGATCAAACCCCCACATCCGAGCATTCCCGACAAATCCTGCATCTGCCCCTTTCTTTGTGTGGACAGGGAGCACACAGGTGGCTTATGGCGAAGGAGCAGGAGAAAAGCCATGTGTTGGCTGTCTGGTTCTGTGCCTTCGGATTTAATGGCTACCTTTCTCCTCCTCTATTCCATATGCTGCCAAGTGAAAATCATTAGAGGCACTAACGAAGACCAGGAGTACAACGGGAACATGAAGAGACAGTGAATCCACACTCGACAGACAAGGAAGAGACAGACAAGCTGTGCTTCCAAAGGAAAGCGCATCCCATCACTTCCTGCTTTGCAGCCAAGGTAACGCAGGATCCGAGGTGCCTGCATGCGTAGGTGGGCGTGAGATGAACAGATTTTAACGATACAGAAGTATTACATCCGTGTGGTTCAGCCCCTTCCAGCTTTGGGCCGGGCAGGTGCCTCTGGTGAGGAACTGCGACCGAGCGGGGGTCTCGGCTGTGGGGCTGCACACAGGGGCACTGGGAAGCGGTTTTGGCTTTCAGACTGCCTGCGTTGGCCTAAGAGCCAGGCCCTGCCATGGCTGCTCCCACTGCGAGGCAATCCTTGTAAAGGTGCTGTAGCTTATAAAGAATCCAGAAACTGGTGTATAAAACATAGTTATTTTCTGTTTGCATAGAGCAAGAAAATCCATAGTATTTCCTTATCGCAGAGTCGTGCAGCAAGTACACCAGCGCCTGTGTACAGGGGGCAGGTACACATGGTAGTACTTGAGCCACGCAGTTACATCGCTTCTCTGAGGGACCCCTTGGGATTTCACAAGTCCCCATTTTCCCAGCACCAGACAGTCGTCAGAGATTGGTCTCCAGTGACAGGTTGTCTCCACTTGAGTTATTGCAAACCTTTTCCTTCAGCTTCCCAGCACCAAACAGTTGTCAGAGATTGGTCTCCAATAACAGGTTGTCTCCACCTGAGTTATTGCAAACCTTTTCCTTCATTCTACAGGTATACCAAATAACCCCAGAAACCATTTCCAGAGTTAATAAGGATGAGGTCCTCATGGGAAACAGGTTGAGCATGAGCCTGCAATGCGCACTTGTGGCAAAGGCAGCCAATGGCATCCTGGGCTGCGTGGGGCAGAGCCCTGCCAGCTCACGTGACACACGCTTGGAGTGCTGGGACCTGTCCTGGGCTCCCCAGTACAAGAGAGACATGGACACACTTGAGTGAATCCAGTGAAAGGCCATGAAGATTATTATGGGATTGCAGTAGCTGACATGAGGAGAGAGCGCTAGGATTGTTCAGCCTGCAGAAGAAAAGTCTTAGAGGGATCTTATCAATGTACAGAAATTCCTGATGGGAGCAAGTAAAAAAGATGGAGCCAGATGCCTCTCAGTGGAGCACAGGGACAGGATGAGAGCCAATGGGCACAAATTGAGAGATGAGAAATTCCATTCAAAAACATGGAACGCCAACTATTTTACTGTGAAGGTGGTTAAAGCCTATTACAGCATCCCCAAGGAGCCTGGAGTCACACAAAATGAGATATGGGAAATTCCATTAAAAAATATGGAACACCACCTATTTTACTGCAAAGGTGGTTAAAGGCTATGACAGCATCCCCAAGGAGCCTGGAGTCTCCATTCTTGGAGATATTCAGCACCCAACTGGACACGGCCCTGAGCAACTTGCTCCAGCTGACCCTGCTTTGAGCAGGGTGGTTTGACTAGGTGGTCCCCAGAGGTTGCTGCAGGACTTGGCTCCCTTACAGCATCAAGTCAGCGAATCTACCAAGCTGGTCCACACAAAGCACTGGTTAATACCGTAGATAACTCAACCACAGGCACTCATCCATAGGAATAATCAAACTGAAATAGCTTGCCAGTAGTGGTGTCTCCCCCTCGCTGTACTGCAGGAAGCAAACAGGGTTTGAAAGCTCTCTGTGCTCAGGCTGACCACGTAGGTGCTGGGAGAACGGCAGTCGGTAGGTGGCACAAAAGAGGCAGATTGGGCAGAGCACCGGGCTCGGGGCTGCGTGTGTAGCTGTTGGGGAGGGTCCCTGGGGGGTCCCTGCGGGCTGGGGGGGGTCCCTGCGGCAGCCCCGAGCAACCGGGCACGGGAAGCGACGGACAGGAGTGCAAACCGGCGCGTAGGGCATCCCCGCTCCCACACTCGTGTGGGAGACGCAGCAATGAGAAAGCACCAGCAGTTTCCCTGGATTTTTAAATGGGGGTTTATGAATTCCAAATGAAAGACTGCCTTGCAACCTTTCTACATTTAAGAAGAAATTCGTATTAAAAAAAAAAAAAATTACTGAAACAGGTTTCTGACATTGGATTTTTAAATGAAGAATCCATAACTTTCTCCCCAGAATCAAAACTTGGTGCAATGACAAATCTTTCAGTGAACAGCCTATTTTTCAAAGAAAAAAAACCCCACACTTTTTTTTTTTACCTTCTCTATTTATAAAGGGGCCTGCTGTTACTTTGTCTGATTCATCTCTTTTTTTAAGATCTCACAATTTCCTTTTTTATATTATTAGAAAAGTCTTTGCTCTAACATTTCAAAACACTACCTAAAAGAGAAACAGTATTTGCTGTCTCTGCTACTGCCAGATGAGATCCAGTTCCTTTTCAGTGTTCATTTTAACCTACATTGCAGAGAATATATCTATTGTATTTAGGCCCTCAGATAAAGTGGGGACTTTCTGTGACCGCATGTCTGTTTATTTACTATACACTAGAGGGGAACCTATACACAGGGGAGGAAAAAAATGTCTTTGATGTAAAGTAAGGAAATTAGTTAGCAAAGTCCTTACAAAACCTTAAAATTGAAACCGACTTGGCCAGGATACAGAAGGTTAAAATACACATACTATTGCCCCCCCAATTTTATTTAAAAAACCCACAAGTTGTATAAAGAGCGCTGCAGTGCATCAAAACTCAGACTCGAAAAACGCTGAACTGGTAACAGTTGGGTGTTCAGGAAGTTTCATGGTCCACTCGCTCAGCTTTGTAGTATTGTTGAAACCCAACATGAGAAAAACCAACATCCTCATCAAACTCCATAAACAACCATTCAAAAATAAAAATATTACCCTCTGGAAGCAAAAAGCTCTGTCTCATAACTCCTACCTCTCTTTTGTCTGGCACTGGGACTGGAATTCCTGTTTTTATTGTTAGATGCTTCCACATTTGATGTCTCAGATTTGTTTTCATATATGCTTGATGATTTCCTGCTATACCTTTGGACAAAAGAAATACAAAAATAGTTACATTCCT